GACTCTGTGACCCGTGGTAGTTGTTCATTCTTCCCCTTGCAGTTGGTGATAGCTGTCCTTTGAATATGTGGGAAGCTGTTAAAACACAAAGTTTAGTGATGGACTTGAATCTTAGATGTCTCTGGACAAAGTTAGTAGGCAGTCCAGTTTTATCCATAGTGTTCCTGTGTTTTAGTTTGCCATCTGTAACTGAGGATCATAAATCTGTGTGATTTTCATGTTAAGAATGGGGATTTAACACTGAGGAGTGTGGTGGAGAAGCACCTTGGGGAACGGATAATTCTATTACAAGCTGCATAGTTTAGAAGATACTCAGTAAATAAGACCTCAGACTTCATCACTGAATGATAAATAATTGTTGTGAAGCAAGCGTCCACCTATTTTAATGAACACACTTATTTGAACAGCAGAGCAGTGGATACATGCAGTTGTTGTCTGGTGTGAAAAGTGTTGAGCATGCAATGGAGCACAGGCTGTCACTGGTGCCTCTCGTTTCAGGAACGAGAGTTATGCATGCCAAAGGAGCAGTTTTCCTCTCATCTATCCAGTGAGGAGGGAGGCAGAAAACCCATTCTCTCATTTCTAGTAAGATAGAACAGTTATGCCTGTGAATGACATCAGGAAAAGCTGCAGTTACTGAACAGTATGTTAATGTTTAATTGCACAAGCAGTTAGTGTATTAGTGATGAATACTTTTTGTCCATTTGAAAAAATATTATAAATAGATCAATATGTGAATTTATTATGATGGACAGTGGGCCTTGGTATCAATTGAGTAGCCACAAGTTAGAATATCACCTGTCAGCTTTAAGGGAGTTTGAGCAAAGTGTTGAGACATTTTTTTCTATCATTTTTTTCTGCTGTGTGCATATAGCATTGTTAATCTTTTGACTAGAAAAGTGAAGTGAAAAAAAAAAGAGGAGGTTTTTCCACCTCCTCACCTCAGAGATTTCATTATGAGGGACTCATTAAAAAAAATAGCAGTATAAATTGCCAGGGCAGGCTGTACTTTTTCTCGCCTATCACAAACATTGTGTTTCTCTAGAAATTCTTTGGATTTGACTTACATGGAAAAGCAGAGGCCACTATCACCTTCGTAAGACTTTCGGCAATCACTTCCTACAGCAGTTTACCAGTCAGAAGGAGTAACATGCTCATGAAAAAGAAGATGATGCAAGCTTTTTCTGTAGTAGAGTCATAATCAACAAAGTAAACACATTGTTTTAATTCTGCTGAGATTTATGCAAGTAAAGGTATTACTGTTATTAATATTTAATGCTTTATTAAGCTTAGATGTACTTCTGGCCTGTACTGTTGCAGGTCTTTGCTCTCAGCAGGAGCTCATGGGCCTCTCAGGTAATGAGGAAGAGATAATATTTCACATATCACAGGATTTATAAAAAAAAAAAAAGTTGTTACTGTCTCAGACTTTTTTTTTTTATATGTATATAGCAGTATATTATTCTTACTGTCTCAGGCAGGCATTTGGGTCAGCTGTGGAACAAAGCAGATCAAAACTAGCTGGTATAGCATTCAGGAGAATGGTCTTTTATATAAGGTTCATATTTCATTCATATTTCAAGATGAAAACACCTCTTTTTTTGTAAGCAGAAGTGTCTGCACAACATAGGCAAGTACTTTTGATGCTTTTACAGGCATCAATTGGAATATAATACTCTTCCACAGTGTTTACACTATTACCTTTGCCTGAAGAAGAGACTTTTAACAAGTTGATTGAGTGCCAAATAACGACTTATAGTGGTGTTTAGGTTTTAAAATGTGAAAGATAGATGAGCTTAAGATGAGGAGAGAGATGGGAACGATGTGCAAAGGAGAGTTCTGATAACATCTCTGATAGAAGGTTATGCATTGGTCTAGACAGCACTGATTTCAAATGAAATGATAGTGAACCAAAAATAAGCTGAAGTCAAAAATTGATTTCAGTCAAAGCTGAAATTATTGTGTCCTACTGAACCCAAATCTGTATGAACTATGCCAAGTTATTTATGGCATGTTCCTGGAAAGACAGCTATTTTCTGGATGTATGTTATGGTTCTTCCACTTGTTTCATTTATGTGGGTTTCATGCTTCTGTACATGTTTTTCATAAATGTCCTACTTGACCTAAGCTTGCTAAGGTCTTGCTGGTTAGTGGAAGGTGCCAGTCCTTGCCAACTCCATCATGATGGCCATAGTACTTGCAGTGTCAGTCAAAATGGATAGTTAATCACATTGAAAATTAGTATCACCAAAGACAACCCCCTAGGATTCTCTTTTCTGACAAAGAAGGACTAGCAGAAATGTGCCTGTCGGGTATAACGTGAATTTATATCTCTTAAACTCAATATAAACTGCCTCATATAAGATAATTTTCCTCTGCTATCTTAAAACAGATAAAGTCAGAAGCTGTAGCATGTATGTAGGATGAAGTACCTTTTCTTGTTTCATACAACTGTTAATCCTGAGCAGCAGTCTAGAGTTCAACTAAGTAATTTCAGTAGAAAGAGAAAAGAGTGGGAGACAACTTGCAAACAATCTGTTCAAACGGAAATTTGTCATTGCTGCAGAAGTTTTACAGAACTTACCCATTTCTGAAGAAGGCCATTTCACCTATCCTTCCAAGGTTAGACCTGTGTTGAGATGTTCTTACTGGCTCAGCAAAGTCTTAAGCAGAGGCCAGCACTGCCTGTGGTGCAGAACATATTAATTATGTTATTATTATAGAAATATTATAAAAATAAGTACTTTGTGGTGTGGACCACTGCCTGTGGTAACAAAGATCACTATATGCATTTCAATTTGGAGACTATGCTCTCTGAAGTGGGTTTTTTCCCCTATCTCTATTCTTTTTTTACAACCTAGCATTCCAGAGATGGTGCTTCATCTTAGATGTTTTTTTCTGTCTCTGGAAAAAGTAGAATAGAAGAGCTAAGAAAATAGCTCTTCACTGAAGAAAAGGATCTAAAATTATCTTTGGATAAATAATGTAACAATTGTATACTTCTTGTCTTTACAGATGCTTTGAAAACAAATCAAATTTGAAGGTTCCCTTGTCTAGCATCAAATAAAGATTAAGCAATTTACAGTTTCATAACACAAGAAATGAAAATACTCTTTTGTGCGTAACTTATGTAAAGTTCATGTGAGCTTACCTACGTAACAGTATTTAAAAGTGTCAGAAGTCAATGGTTCTTCTTTCCGTGTCTTGAATAACCGTCACTGACCATTCAGCCTTCATTTCTATTGATGAAGGCTTTGAAAAAATCATAAAATGGCATGCCCTCAGCATCAGTGAGTGACAGCTTGCATTAAACTAGTAGTTTTGATGTAACATTCATTGATTTCTCCAAGATTGAATGTTGAAGCAAACAGAAATATGTTCAAAATGCCACAGGTATGAACATGCTTGTTTATCTCATCCCTCTTGTGCTTTCTCAAGCACACATCCAGTTCTGTCATCTGGATGCTGTGGTAACTACTTGCTTGGTTTTCTCTCTTGTCTTAAGGAGTTGGATCTCTGCTGTATATTGTAAAGTCTTGGATTAGCAAATGGAAAAGAAAGAAGCGTTAGATAAATACACATAGTTATCTTTAAAATACTTTTTAGTCTGTCAAATGCTTGATTAGAAATTCCAAGTTAGTGCGCATGAACTGTCCTACATCTGTTTTTACATCCTTCTCAGGAGTCTGGAATTGAGTGTTGTCTCTGCGTCCAGGAAATGTGTCCACCAAAGTCTGTGTTCAGGAATATTTCCCTTACTCAAAGTACCATGTTCCCCATGTAATCTAAACCTAATTACCGTATTATGTCAGACCACTTTTACAGGTCTGAAGTGAATAGACTTCCTCTGTTTTCTCTGGACTTCCTTCCCAGCTGACCAGCTGGGCAACTTAAAAATATTGGTGTGTTGTCCACATCAAAATTCAGGAGACTGATTTTCAGGATATTGCTTCTTTTGTTGCTTCTTTTTATCACTGTTCCAGTTACTTTGGTTGTATTACTGATCTGAGTCACCCTTTTAATGTATTGCCATTTGTGTAGTGCAAGTTACAAAGTTATACCAAACCTGAAACATTTTGAGTAGTTTTTCCTCTTTTGCTGGTAGCGAGTCTTTCCTGTGCTTTCACTTTACTTGGAACTCTGGACTTCCCTAATGAATGAGTAGTTTGATCTCTAATGTGAGAAGGCTGATCTCTTATCAAATTGGAATGAAATGAAGGACATAGGTTGCTGTTAACAATACACAGTAACTTAGTTCTTGACAGCTTTGATTTGAGCAGGAAAGTGAATAAATCAGACAATGCATTTCTGTGAAACATGAGATGTTAGGGAGATCCTGTGATGTCTTAATGCACTGATCTTTCATAACTTCTAAGTTCTGGTTATGCACTCAAATAAAAGCAAGTTCTTCTGTTCCTTCAAATGCTTCTGCAGTTTGCAAAAACAAATACATAATTTTAAATAATTCAACATGCTTGGGAATATCTGTTTCAAGACAGGGGACCCCTTGGCACATCAGGGTTGACCTATATAGGCTGGAAAAGCTTGTTTGGCTTCACCTGTACCTTGTGCTTTGTTCAAACTTCTACTGTTAGTTCATTCTTTTTCTGTCCACCCAAGTTACACAACATGTATTCACATAAATCTACTTGTTCCCTGAATTCTTTCTTCCTGCTTAAAAAGTGCTATCTTTTGGACTTTGGAAAGAGAGGACCAATCCCCACAAAACTCCACTTTTTGAAGGGATCAAGTTTTGATAAAAAGACTGCTGTGAAAAGAAACAGCATTCCTCCTCTAGCAATGGTCCTTAATTTTTGAGACTTTCTTGTATTTTTAGGGTGTGCTTTAAAGAAGACGTATTATCTCACTTAATACTGCTCAGAGACAATTAAGAAAAAAAATCCATATAGTGTTTCATAATAGTGTAACTTTTGTTGAATTTCTGAGTGCACTGTTTGAACTAATCACAAAAAAAACCTTGTAATAAACTCTTCCCACAGAAACTAAAACAGAAGAATCAGCAGCTGAAGCAGATCATGGATCAGTTACGGAATCTAATTTGGGACATAAATGCCATGTTGGCAATGCGGAACTGAACAAGAAGAAGCAAGCATTGTGGCTGGAAAAGATAGAAATTTGTTTGGATACACTTAATTTCTTTCTAAGAAGTAACGTGTTTTCCCACAACCATATTGCAGTAATGTTTGAAGTCTTCAAGATTAAAATGTTGGTTTTTTTTGTAATAACTGAAATGATCTTGGTTTTGTTTTTATAAAAGATTCATCCTACAGGTTTTACCTGAGTCATTCACTTAGGCTGTATTATATTCAGCCTAAGTAACTTAGAGTGATAATTTGGATTGCTATGCAAATGGGTTTTTTAATAAGTAAAGAATTTCTGGATTTTTTAATAATACAATTAACACTTTTAAAAACATGTGTTTGCATGCCATTCTGCAGTGCAAACCACCTCTACAGACAGAAAAAGTTGCAGTACAGAAAAGTCACTCATGTAAGCTCCAGGACTGAAATAAGTGATCAGATAGTACATTGCAATATGTTTCCCCATTGTGCAAACATATGCTACAGGCTACTATGCCATATAGGTTCATCTTATTCCATATCCTATCACTGCATATATATTACATTAGATAAATTGGAGCAAAATTCAAAAGCTACATAAAACTACTGCTATATCTTTATGGATATAATTAAGTCTTTTTAAGTGAAGACTACATACATATATCCTCGACATTAACTACTTATGTAACTATGAGTTACAGTTTCTTGAGTACTGCTCCAGCTATTGTATGTTGTAGTTTTCCTGTAGCATTACGTGTGGTTGGAATACTTGGGTTTTGTTTACCAGAATGCACTGAATAAATGCCTCATTAATCTTTTCCCTATGATGCCAGTCCTAGAAAACGCTGGAGTATATGAGCAGTTCATTATTTTGGATTAATCATCAACCTTCATCTTTCTTTGTTCTGCCTCTGATATTCCTCACAGTTTTCATTAGCCCTGAAAATAGTTTTAATTTTTGTTATCCATAGATGCTGCCAGTGGACTATTTTTCCAATGTCTCTATTTCCAGATGAATAAATGTGTAAAATAACACTGTTTCCATACAAATCCGTAAGGCACTCTACTGTTAATATTTGTCAAGTTGAAAACTGACCATCCTCATGATTTGCTTCTTGCATATTACTTCTAATTCTCATTCCATGCCCAGTCAGATTTCTTAATAGTTTTGTGTGAAAAATTAACTCAGAACCTTCTGAAGAGTCCAGTTAAATGGTATCCTTTTAAAAGATATCCTTTTCACAGTATGGGGTTTTGATACTGAATGTTTATTGATTTGAGATATATGGTTTTAAAAATGTTATACTGGTTTGTTGTTCTATCAGTCTTTTTTATTTTGGTTTTTAATAATTTCAACCCATTTGTCTACTCCTTGAGGTAAAAATCACTGGCATCTGATAGGTCTGATCACACCTGGTTGACAATATATGACTTTTCCCTGAAATTAGGTACAATGTAGTTGTCTTTTATTTCTCCTTTTGAAGGCTTTAAATCTTAACAGGTGATTGGATGCCCAGTCTTATAATTGCAAATAAACAGAGGTATGAAATGTTTGTTTTGATTAGTTTACCCAGTGCTGAAAGTGATATGTAACTATAACAATACTTAGATGGGTGTGCTGGGTTGAGCCTGGCTGGACGCCATGTGCCCGCCAAAGCCGCTCTATCACTCCCTTCCTCAGCTGGACAGGGTTGAGATCAGGGAGAGATCACTCACCAATTGCCATCACAGGCAAAACAGACTTGACTTGGGGAAATTAGTTTAATTTATTGCCAAATTCGAGTAGGATAACGAGAAGTAAAACCAAATCTTAAAACACCTTCCCCTCACCCCTCCCTTCTTCCTGACCTCAACTGTGCTCTCAATTTCTCCATCTCCTCCCCCTGAGCGGCGCAGGGGGACGGGGAATGGGGGTTGTGGTCAGTCCATCACACGCTGTCTCTGCTGCTCCTTCCTCCTCAGGGGGAGGACTCCTCACACTCTGCCCCTGCTCCAGCCTGGGGTCCCTCCCACGGGAGATAGTTCTCCACGAACCTCTACAACATGAGTCCTTCCCACAGACTGCAGTTCTTCACGAACTGCTCCAGCCTGGATCCCCCGCGGGGTCACAAGTCCTGCCAGCAAACCTGCTCCAGCCGGGGCTCCTCTCTCCATGGGCC